AACAACAGTCGGCTTCTCAGAGTGTCCTCGTCTTATCTGGTCTCCATAGCAACAACCTGACAATGCCAGGTATCCCCTGCCTAGCTCCGCCCCTTGTCATGGCGACTTCATGATGTCATTGTTTTCTTACCTCGTAGGAAGTCATCAGCAGTTTGATTGACAGCTGTCTGTTTCTTGATGATGGCTGAGGAGCGATAAACGACATGTTTCCTTCCTCCCTCCTCTTCCTCTCCTCCTCCTCCTCCTCCTCCTCCTCCTGTCCCCTTCTCGTCCAACGGCTCGATGAAAAACTCCTCCTGACCGACCAGGATCATCCCCGCCTGCAGACACACAGAGCTGCTTAATCTGAAGTTATAATCCGATGTATAATACACAGATAATCTGCTGTAAAATCTGCTTTATAAAATCCAATAATTTACTGTATAACCATCTTTATAATCTGCAGTATATCTGATAATCTGCTGTATAATTTGGTGTTTAGCCTCCTTTAATCTGTAAAAATGAGTTCTTTATCAGCTGTTATTTTTCAGATTTAATCCACTCTGTTGAAAGTGGGATTTTAAGATTATTATGATTCTACTTTATTCTTCTGTATTTTAATCTGTTGTTTTTCTGATTTAGTCTCAGTATCTAATCTAATCTGTAGTTTAATGCTCAATAATCTGCAGTTTAATCCCAAATCGATCTGCTGGTCATTCATGTTTCGGTTCTTCTTTAATTTTTATAAAACAATCATTTATTTGCTCTTCTGTGGACGTTGTTTTAATCTGATTCAGCATATTTAATCCCTGTATGCAGTAAAGACCCGTCATAATCTGAGCACTCTGATTGGCTGGTTGTGCTCAGGTGTTGATTGGGTCCACCTGTGTTCTGTTCTGTGTCTTTAAATCATTTGATTATTGACAGCAGGGTAACGTCCCTCTCTCCTGCGTGTCTTTGAACGCCTCGCCGCGCTCGCACAGCTGGTTCCCATCAGCCGCCGCTGTAAGAAGTGAAGGTGGGCGGAGACTCTGTGTGTTTTTACAGTGTAGGGTTAAATCTGTGTTTGTTTTACAGTGTTTGGTTTCTGTCTGAGCAGGTCTGAGATCATCTCAGACCCTCATGAACAGACTTGTTTCAGCCCTCAGGTCCCCTCCTGCTCTGGGGGAAAAAAATTTAAAAAACATTTTAATTTTAATTATCTGAACCTGAATTATAACAGGCGTTTATATTCATTTTTAGTTTTATCTCCGAACAAAAGAAACAAAAGAAAACATTTTTATTCGTTGATTTAATTTATTTTAATTAAATTTAATTAATAAAAGTGAAAGTGAAAGTTTTCAATAATCAAACAGGAGGGGAATTTTTTCTTTAGCATTTAAAGGGGAGGTGACAATTTCAGTCAATTAAAGGAGAAGGAACCGTTTTAATTAATTAAAGGGAAAGTGACCATTTTCTCCAATAAAGCAGGAGACGGTTTTATTTTTATTTGATAAAAAAAATTTAACGGGGAGTGACAATTATTTTATTAAAAGTAGGTGATGATTTTTTTTTTTACATAAATTGGAGGTGACACTTTCAATTTATTAAAGGGGAGGTTTCTGTTTCATATAAAGGGATGGTTTTGCTCAATTAAAGGGGAGTGGAGGTGCCAGTTTTAATTTTAATTAATCAGGTGACATTTTTCCATGGGTCAAACAGAAAATAACAGACTTCAATTATTAAAGGGAAAGTTGCAAATTTAATTATATGAATAGGAGGGTAAAACTTTTGATCAATTAAAGGGGAGGTGACACTTTCAATGTATTAAAGGGGAGGTTTCTGTTTCATATAAAGTGTTTTTTTTTTTTGATTAATTAAAGGGGAGGTGTGAGTGAAAATGCCTGAGTCTTCATCATGGCGGCGGACTGACGGCGGTTTAAATCGGCGCCATTTCAATTCAGAAATGTTGAAATAATCATAATCATCACAGAGAGTCACATGACCCTCAGAAACCTACCAGACCATCACAGTTGCTAATAGCGACAGATGTTTCCTCCATGTTGGACACCTCTCCTGTGTAGAAGCAGCCGGTGTCTCTGATTGGCTCGAAGAGTTTCTGTCCTGACTCCTCCCACCACTCCATGGAGGCGGCAGGAGCGACAAGGCGAGAGTTGAGGCGAAGGCGCAGGTGGAGCTCCTGACCGAATACTGTCACGTTATAGAAAAGCTCCGCCTCCTCAGTTAGTAAACCACGCCCCCTCCAGCCGTTTCCTGTCTGATTGGACAAGAACTCTTCTGTGGGAGTGTCCTCTGCGGAGAAGGCGTGTCTCCTGCTGCGTTTAAAATGGTGGGCGGAGACTGACGCTGAAAGGAAACGCCCCTCTGGGTTTGTCCTGATTGGACGGACGACGCTGAACTCTGACAGGAAGTGATGGAGAGAATCTGGGGGGAGGTGAGAGAGGGAGAGAGAGAAAGATAAAGAGAGAGAGATAGATTAACTGTTCCGACTGGAGGAAAAAAATCAACATAAAACCGCAGACTGGTCCTTTAATACAGTCCATGATGATCAGACTGTTTACTGACTGTTTACTGACTGTTTACTGACTGTTTACTGACTGTTTCTCAGCAGCAGCTCTTTTACTGCTCTGACTGTAACAGCCCGTACACTGTAAAAAACGCCACGCTCAGAGGAGAGACGACTCGTGTTAAAGACGGCGGCGAGTTTCTCCAGCAGACTCTGAACACGCTCCCTCCCTCCAATGAGTGAAAATGTGACTGCAGGCCAGTGGGTGTGATTAATAAACACACCACATGTCGGAGGCTGAGTGTGCACAATGTGAAAAACAGACAAAACGCCGCCAACAGCTGTGAGGGAGGCAGCCAATCAGAGCGCAGCATGAGCTAAGGCTGCTCTCAGGTCAGAGGAAAACAGAAGACAGTAACCGAGCTGATCTAACGAGGAGGGAACGCTGTGTGTCTGAGGTTAGACAGGTCACACACACACACACACACACACACACACACACACACACACACACTGAGGATATGATGAAATATGATCTGAATCCCTCACATTCCCAAACGCCACAGACGCATAAACACAAAGATTTATGGGAAAAACGTGGAGAGGAAATTTCTCTGACTGTGAAACAGAAGAAAGAAAGTGTGAACCTCCATCCCTCTGTGGACCTGGGAGCACTGGGAACACTGGGAGAACTGGGAACACTGGGAGAACTGGGAACACTGGGAGAACTGGGAACACTGGGAGAACTGGGAACACTGGGAACACTGGGAACACTGGGACAATAGTAGTATTAATCACATGGTTCTCCTTTAGTTCATGTTAATGATCAGTCCTCTGAGGACAGCAGGGTTAGTCTTGGAGCTCAAAGAGGTTCAGTCTGTTTTTATTTTACTTTAATAATCAGGAGTCATCCTTCAAATCTCAACTTCAGCAAAATTCAAGAACAACATTTATGACATCTGAGAAAAAGTTATAGACTGTTATAGACTTAGACTGTTATAGACTGTTTTAGACTTAGACTGTTATAGAAGTAGACTGTTGTAGTCTGTTACAGACTGTTACAGACTCAGACTGTAATAGGCTGTTATAGACTGTTACAGACTCAGACTGTTATAGACTTAGACTGTGATAGACTGTCAGATGTAGACTGTTATAGACTGTCATAGATGTAGACTGTTATAGACTGTTATAGATGTAGACTGTTACAGACTCAGACTGTTATAGACTGCCATAGACTACCATAGACTCAGACTGTTATAGACTGTTATAGACTACCATAGACTGTTATAGACTGTTATAGACTCAGACTGTTACAGACTGTTATAGACTTAGACTGTTATAGACTGTCAGATGTAGACTGTTATAGACTGTCATAGATGTAGACGGTTATAGACTGTCATAGATGTAGACTGTTACAGACTCAGAATGTTATAGACTGCCATAGACTACCATAGACTGTTATAGACTCAGACTGTTATAGACTGTTATAGACTACCATAGACTGTTATAGACTGTTATAGACTCAGACTGTTATAGACTGTTATAGATGTAGACTGTTATAGACTCAGACTGTTATAGACTGTTATAGATGTAGACTGATATAGACTGTTATAGATGTAGACTGTTATAGACTCAGACTGTTATAGACTGTTATAGATGTAGACTGATATAGACTGTTATAGATGTAGACTGTTGTAGACTCAGACTGTTATAGACTGTTAAGAAATCTCAGTTGCTGCATCAGCTCCCTTATTGACTCAGACCCCCCTCAGACTCGTGGTCTTAGTCCATTTATCCATCCCACCAAATGTCCAACAGTGACCTCAGGAAGGATCTTATTTCAGCCTGTAACCATAGACACAGACGGTCCGTCCAATCATGAGACACACGAGATTACACTGACAAAGAAAAACAAGAAGCAAATTCAACATCTTTGGTGAAACTTCGGCGTCTGAAGAAGAAAGACGATCTGCCCGTTATCATGAGGTCTGACTGTCCTTCCTCAGACTCACAGAAACACACATCTGCTTTAAGCTCATCTGTTCACTCTGGTGCTGAACGTTAAATTCCCTCCTGCTCCTCATTTCTGAACTAAAAACAAACTCTTCTTTCTGGAAATGCTCTTTACGCTCTTGAACATAACAATAAATGTCTGCAGTTCATCCAAGGCCTTCAGTGATCCTGCTTCATAAACAGTCTGTTGGAGTTTTTACTCGGAAACCTGATCTTTTCATTTATCCTCATGATCACATCTGAAAATCTAAACTGGGACACTCCTCCCTAAACTTAGTTTTACTCAAAGTTAAGTACGTCTTATTTTCATCAAACCCTGTTTAACTTTTTAAACAGTTTCTCCTGAGGTTCTTAAATCCTCTCTGGAACAAACGAGTCTCATCTGCATAGAACACAAACTGCAAAACTTTGGAGACCACACATCCATCACTGATCGTCATTGTCGTTGTCGTTTTCTTCCGCTTCATCCTGGTCCGGGTCGTGGGGGCAGCAGCTTCATGAGGGAAGCCCGGACGGCCCTCACCCCAGACACCTCCACCAGCTCCTCCTTTGGTGGGATTCCCAGGCGCTCCCAGTCCAGGCCAGAGATCTAATCCCTCCACCTGGTCCTGGGCCGGCCACGAGGTCTCCTCCTGGTGGGACATGTCTGGAACACCTCTAACGGGAGGCGTCCAGAAGGCGTCCTAACACCTCAGCTGACTCCTCTGGACGTGGAGGAGCAGCGGTTCTCCTCTGAGCTCCTCCCGAGTGTCCGAGCTCCTTACCCTATCTCTAAGGCTGAGCCCGGACACCCTGAGGAGGAAACCCATTTCAGCCGCTTGTATCTGCGATCTTGTTCTTTCGGTCATTACCCAAAGTTCATGACCATAGGTGAGGATCGGCACGTAGATCGACCGGTAAATCCAGAGTCTCTCCTTACGGCTCAGCTCTTTCTTCACCACCACTGATCGGTTAAACGTCCGCATCACTGCTGACGCCGCTCTGATCCACCTGTCGATCTCCTGCTCCATCCTGCCCTCACTCCTGAACAAGATCCTGAGATACTTGAACTCCTCCGCCTGAGGCAGGACTGCCCCTCTGACCTGGAGAAGGTAATCTACCTTTCTCTGACTGAGGACCATGACCTCGGACTTGGAGATGCTGATTCGCATCATCACTGATCTACAAATGAAAAACTGTTGACCCCAAAACAGAGCCTTGTGGGACTCCACCTTTACTGTCCTTGTATACGGTCTTTGTCATGTTTCCTAACGACAGCGTCATCAGCGTATATTTGAGGCCGACTTTACGGCAGAGACGTGACAGATCATGAACACGCTAAAGAAAGGAGGTCCTAACATTGAACCTTGTGGGACACCAAGACTGCGATGAACAAAGACCTCCTCTCTCAAAGACGTAAAAATCACCTCCTGGATGTTGGATGGAGCTCATCTGTCTGAGTTCACCCAAAGAAAAGTTCAAACTACACAGTTTAGATGTAAGAACTTTATGATTTATAGTCTTTTCACGGCGCTCTCACCGACCTCTCCTGATGGTTATCTCACTGTCGCTGCTGCAGCCGTGGTTAAAGAGGTCGTATGTTAAACATCTGCAGTAGTAGAAGAAGCATTAACAGTAGATCTGGTCTGAGCAGATGAAGTATCTGCAGGAACCCTAACAGGACTGAAAGTAGAGTACACGTGATGGTACTGCAGTAACTGTAGTAATATCGCAGTAGTACACAGAGAAACATCAGTACTCCTGATCTCACAGTCCGAACAGTTTTATCAGAGCGTCAGTGTCTGCTAACACACACACACACACACACACAGCAGCAGTAGGTAAGGTTGGTCGTCTCACCTGTGCCGTCAGTGATGTAGACCGAGTGTGATCGATCAATCAGCAGCAGAAACACAATAATCAATAATCCATAACGACAGATCTCCATCCTGACAGACAGACAGACGGACAGACAGACAGACGGACACAGACAGAGAGAGAGAATGACAGACAGACAGACAGAGAGAGACCGGCTGATACTGAGAAACCTCTTCTCTCTCTCTCTCTAACAGACTGAGTGTGAGCCGCTGTGTGCAGACTGAACACTCCAACAGACACTCCTCCACTGTCTCACTGTCTCCTCCCTCTGTCTGTCTGTCAGTGTCTGTCTGTCTGTCTGTGTGTGTCTGTCTGTAGTCTGTCTGTAGTCTGTCTGTCTGTAGTCTGTCTGTAGTCTTTGTCTCCACAGCAGTGTTGACTCTGTAGTTTGCCTCAGTTTCTCTCTACTCTGCTCCTCTCTCTCTCTTCTGTCGGTTATAGAAGTCTGGACACACACACACACACACACTCAGCCTCCCACTCACACACATGCTGCAGTTGTAGTAGGAGCAAGTGTCCACTAGATGGAGTCATGCAGCTGCTTTCAAACACACTCCTCTCTCTCTCTCTCTCTGTGTGTGTGTCTAAACAGCAGGAACCACAAAACCAGGACACTTAACTTCAGAGTCAAAACCTGCAGTACCTTAAGTGTCCACCGGGGACTGTGGTCTTCAGTTAGTCAGTCAGTTAAGAGGACCGTGATGAAATGGACAGACTGGATTTATAGATAACTCAGCTGTTTACATCAGATTAAGGATTAAAACCACACAAGTAAGTGTGTGTGTGTGTGTGTGTGTGTGTGTGTGTGTGTGTGTGTGTGTGTGTGTGTGTGTGTGTGTGTGTGTGTGTGCGTGCTGTAAAAAGCAAACTACTCAATAACATCCCCGAGTCCCCCCAAGGCATTAGTTAGCGCCTCATGACCTGGCGTATCCCACTGGTAAAAGGCCGATTCGCTACGCTACTGAGTGCCTATTCCCCCACCCTGGACGCCGTTAATAACATTAAAGATGCCTTCTATGAGTCCCTTGATGCTGCTCGATCCAAAATCCCTGATTCTGATAAGCTGATTCTGATGGGTAACTTCAATGTCCGAGTAGGCACTGATGCCAAGATTTGGAAACCAGTGATCGGAAGTCATGGAATACGCAAAACAAACAGCCACAGCCTCAGACTCCTCACTCTGTGCTATGAACCTCAGCTCCTCATAACCAACACCATTTTTCAGATAAAAAAGAAGTATATAACATCATGGATGCACCCCAGGTCCAAACACTGGCACTTATTGGACTACATTATCACCCGCCAACAAGATACAAGTGACGTCTGCACAACCCGGGCTATGTGTGGAGTGGAATGCTGGGCTGACCACCGGCTGATTAGATCTAAATTCAAGCTACGGATCCAAACATCCACACAAGAAACAAAAACCTAGCAAGCGACTCATCCGCAAGGCCCTGGCATCTCCAGATTGCATATCCCATCTACGCAACACACTGGCTAAGCAACTCGCCACCCTGGTGGACTACAACAACGTCCCCAACATGGAGAATGAGTGGGCAAAACTGAGGTCAATTATATATGACGCTGCCTCAGAGACCGTCAGCTTCACTCAAGAACGCCACCAGGACTGGTTTGACAAACCAAGCACAAAGCCCATGCTGCCGTTCTTTCCAACCCTCACTCTCCATCGCTCGCTACAAAGCCATCCGAGGTGAGACCCCAAAACAACTCAGGACCATGGAGAATGAATGGTGGCTCAAAAAAGCCGAAGAGATACAGAGGAACGCAGATGACAACAATGCTCATGCCTTCTACGAGGCCGTGAAATCCTTGTATGGCCCGCAGAAGCGTAACATCGCCCCTGTAAGATCTGCAGACAGCTCTGTACTATTCAAGGACAAAGAACAGATTCTTGAGCGTTGGGCCGAACTCTTTGACGCCCTGCTTAACACAACAAACCCCTCTGATCCTTCTGTCCTTGATGCTCTCCCAGACCTACCACCAGTCCCTTCCCTTGATGAACCCCCAAAGTTCACTGAGGTCTTCTCTGCAATTAGGAGTCTTAAAAACAACAAGAGCCCTGGCCCTGATGGACTCCTGGCTGAAATCTTCAAGAAGGGGGGAAACCTGTGTATACGCCAGCTTTTCCTCTTCATCTGCAACACCTAGCAAAATGAGACCTTGCCTCAACAGTGGAAAGACAGTAACATTGTCACTATATACAAGAAGAAAGGAGATAAGTCATGCTGTGGGAACAGTCGCGGCATCTCTCTCCTCTCGGTTGCTGGCAAGGTGCTCGCAAAAATAATGCTGTTTCGACTAACAACTCACGTCACAGAGAACATCCTTCCAGAGACACGTTGCGGCTTCAGAAAGAGCCAAAGCACTCTGGACATGATTTTTGCTGCACGCCAAATCCAGGAAAAGAGCAGGGAGCAAAACAAGGACCTCTACCTCACTTTCATTGACCTAACAAAGGCCTTTGACACTGTTGACCGGGAAATCCTCTGGAAATCCTCAAGAAATTTGGCATCCCCAGCAAATTCCTCAACATCCTCAAACAATTTTACGACCGTATACAGGAACATGTACTTGTCGGAGGGCAGCAATCCCCCTCGTTCCTTGTGAAAGTTGGGGTGAAGCAGGGATTCGTGCTGGCCCCTGTGATCTTTAATCTTTACCTGACGGCAGCTACTCTCCTATTCCACAAGACCATCAAGGAAGAAGGAGGTGTTTAAATCCAGTTCTGTTTGGACGGGAGTTTGTTCAACATAAGGCGCCTACAGGAGAAGACAAAGACCCTGGTCACTAACATTCAAGAGCTCCAATATGCAGACGACTGTGCGCTACTGGCTCATAGCCCAGCCGCCATGCAGCGTGCCCTGGACACCATGTCCTTTATCTACAGCTCACTAGGACTTGCGATCAACACCCCAAAAACTGAGGTCATGATACAGGAGAGGTGTCCATCCTCTGTCAATCCAGTGTTCAGCATCAATGGTACACCCCTCCAGACCGTCCAGCAGTTTTGTTACCTTGGCAGTATGTTAACACCTGCCTGCCACATTGACCACGACATCGAGGCCCGTATCAATCTGGTCTCAGCTGCCTTTGGTAGACTGCGCTCTTGTGTCTTTGAGAACCGCACTTAAGAATCTCAACGAGAGCTGCAGTCTATAGGGGAGTGTGTGTATCCACACTGCTCTATGGGGCAGAAGCCTGGATTGCCTATTGCCGACATATTAGACGCCTGGAGGCGTTCCACATCAGATGCCTCCAGCGCATACTCGGCATCACCTGGCAGGACCGTGTCCCCCACAGTGACGTCCTCCAGCGCACTGATTCCACCAGCATAGAGGCAACCCTAGTGCAGTGGCAACTCCGGTGGGCTGGACATGTTATCCAGATGCCTGGCTGCCGCTTGCCCCATCAAGTGCTATATGGACAGCTCCTCTCAGCCAACAGGAAGCCAGGCGGTCCAAAACTGCGCTACAAGGACCAGCCGAAAAGCATTCTGAAGAGGTGCAACATCAACCCAATTGACCTGGAGTCAGCAGCGGCTCATCGGCTTCTCTGGCACTCTCTGTGCCATGACGGGGTCGCGCACCTCGAGGAGAAGCGCACTCAACAAAGAACTGTGCGGCGTCCGCAAAGACACTCCCATGCTGCTCCAGTACAATCTCAGCCTCCTGATCAAGACCTCACATGTCCTGACTGTGGCAGAATATGTGGTTTCAGAATAGGACTTCACAGTCATCTACAGTGGCATCGGCGACAGCGAAGATGGCCACTGACCAACTCATCACAGTAGAAGGAAGCTACGTCATCATCGACATCGATGGACTGCCAATGATGGTGTGTGTGTGTGTGTGTGTGTGTGTGTGTGTGTGTGTGTGTGTGTGTGTGTGTGTGTGTGTGTGTGTGAAGTCAGGGTAATGTGTATGGATGGATAGATGGATGGATGGTCCTCTCATGAAAGGACCCAAACATGGAGCGACACAGCAGCAGGTTTTTCTATATTTCGTCATTTCGACTGTTTGAATTTTCAACATTTTAAATTTTTTTTTTATTTGAAAAGACTCAAAAATAAAAACTCACTCTCTGTCACAGGCAGCAGCAGACTTTATTACATTAAATCAACAACTATTATAGACACTGATTCAACTGACAACATGATAGAAAATATGAGATATAAAGATAATATTTTGTTTAAAGTTCTTACAGAGAAGTCATCTAAAGTCATCTATGGAAATAAAAAGACAGTTAATATTCAGAAACAGCTTAGAGCACAGATCCAGCAGGACAAATGTTTATGTTCACTACAGCGAGCTTTACCACTGTCAGCCTGACAACATTATCATGTAGATAACAACAATGATGATGATGATGATGAAACAGCATTTATGTTTTTTTTCTGGTTACAGATGAACCTCAAAGGTTTAGTCCTACACTAACAGGCTGTCCATGTTACTTTATCTCTAATAAACTTTTCAGAGTTAGCCTGATAGAAGTTCTCGGACAGTCTGAGGAGTCAACACCGGGAGGACTCAGTCTCAGTGAAGTAAACTTTAACCTAATCATACTAGTGGTTTTTATTTTACACAGGGACAGGTCTTTATTCATTCCTCCTCTCCACGAGAGCACACGTGTTTATTAAGAGGATTTCCTGGCATATATGTGCACCTAATGAGCATGCGGCCTCTGCTGATTTGGAACAGGCCTGTAGCCATGGTGCATGTGTTGATGCCTTAAGGCATCAACACATGATAGAAACTGAGCGAACCAATGGCGCACTGCCCACCACTTCACGCGTAATTTAAATCGTGCGCGCATAGTCCTCTGGAATAACTCAGAGGTGTAAGGCACTTCGTTCCAGCGTGACATCTTTCTGATTTTAGTCAGGAGTTCCCTCACCTGACTTCTGTTTTCATTCTGATCGTTACACACGTTGTTAAACACACAGTATCGATTTCCACAACGGCTGACCAGGTCTGATACTGGTTGACTGGTCCGGATCAAATTGTCAATAGACTCGCCTCTAAGCTCATCCCCGTAGGTGAAAAGAACCACCACATAGTTTAGAGCATTTCTCCCAAAGAACCTTTCAACAAGCTCAAACAGTTTGATCTGTATGTCTGTGATTCTGCCGATTCTGACCACAATCACAAAGGCGTGTGGACCTGGGTTCAGCCGCCTGTACTGACCCCATGATCTTCTGGTACAGCTGTCTGCGAGACAAATGTTTTCCAGACAGTCCAGGAGTGTCCACCACAGTGACGCGTTGTCCCTCCACCATTTCTGATGCAGAGGACGTCTCTCCTGTGACTGGGTTAAAACTAGCAGTTGATTCAAACCTCTCGGCGCCCAGGATGGTGTTTCCTGTTGAACTTTTCCCGTCTCCAGAGAGGCCCAGCAGCACCATCCTCACCGGCGGGTTCTCTGTACATGGAAATGAAACATAAATCTTCAGACTCTTTCTTAAAATAATCCCAAATTAAGGGACTTAAATTTGTCCCTAACATAGTAACCTTACACATGCTCGTAGCTCAGCATTTCTTTTAGCTCAGAATAATCTGGGGTTCCACATTTACATCAGCAAACCTCAAAGATCATCATTTCCCAGGAGCACACGTCAAAAACAAGATTTTCTGTCTGATGGGTCAGGTAAACACAGTTTCTGTCTGTGTTTCATAAGTTACACAGGAGCTCTCAGTTGGACTCGGACAGTTGACTCAAGTCAACAGGGTACATAACCAGCACCATGACCGACTGTCTCTGAGGAGGCCTGATTCCTCCAGCAGCTCTTTCACTTGTTCTTGTCTGGTATATTTGTAATTAAACACTTGATGTCTCCCTGCAAACTTTTGAGCAAAAGGTCTGAGGGGACCTTCTGGATCTTTGTTGATGAACTCATCCAGTGACTCACTACCCAACCTTTCCCCTCTTATGAAGAGCAGGTAAGAGTTAAGGTCCTTACACACCGGGCGAGAATTCGCCAGGCGAATTATTCGCCTTTTTTTAAAACAGCATAAAGTCAATGCAAGCTTCCATACCGGCGGCGATTTTTCCGCGGGGCGAAAAGCCGCTTTTATTTTTTCGCTCTTGTGTCGAATTTTTCGGATATTCGCAGGCGAATATCTGGACCTGCTAGACCTCTGGCCAATCAAAAGTCATGTTGTTGATGACATCACAGACCCATACGGCTGGAGGAGAGGGAGAAGTTTGAGATTATGAAAACGCAGAGAAAGGCAGCTGAGGTGCATCCAAAACTCTTTCTAATTACTAATGAAGTAGTTTTCTCACAAGATGACACTCTCTTGTCTTCCACCCTGCATCTCCTCTCCTCCGTGCCGCAGAGCGACTTTATTAATTCGCTTTGCAAAAAATATACGCATATTCGCTTCGCGGCCGGTGTGTATAGGCGAAAGCGATTTTTCAGACCGGTGAATATTCGCAATTTTCGTCTCGCTTTTTCGCTTCGCTCCGCAAATTCGCCGGTGTGTAAGGACCTTTAGACTCTTGATCCCCGATCACCCTCAGAGCTGCCTCCATCAGAGAATCGACCTATTTCAACCACCACCAGGAACAAACAAGGTGTGGAGGTCTGGAGGAGGTTCTGACACCAGGGGCTCTATTTTGGTGCCTCGCCGGAGACGTGCCGCAAGCGCAGAGTCAATCAGATCCGCCGCGCTGACAAGGCGTTCCCAAGCACATTTTGGTATTTTGGTGAGCCGCGCAGCCCGGCATAAGTATCCCCCCTCCCTAACTCAGCTCCTCCCGGCAGCATAAATCATAGACGGGGAGGAGAGGGGGTTTAACACAGCCGAGACCTGTTTTCACCAATCACATTAGCTCCTCTTCTCGCCTTTAAATCTGCCACAGGCGAGGCGTATTACTATTTTCATGAAGTAGTCAAAGAGATCAAGAGATGTCTTAAGACAGTAATGCCACAAGATGGCGACAGAGGGGAGCTCCTCAACAAGTGTCCTCCACACTCTCTCATCTGAGCACAGATGGATTTGGTGTGCGTAATGTTGGACCCACTGGTAAGACAAACACCCTTTTCCACAAATAAAGACACTCACATAAAGTTGCTCATATTCAAACCTCACGTGACAAAGGTGGGTTGAGCGCAGAGATCACAACATAAACTCCAAAAATGGCATTAAAATCTGAACCATCTGTGCGTAAATGACGCATCGCGCTCCGTGGCCTGGCTCTTTCTTTCATAGATGTTGGCATATAAAATAAATTTGGCTCACAAAACTGAATATTATAATATCCGTATGTCGGCTTAAAGTAGATAACGCATCTGAGCACTGAAACAAATCATCTGTTCAGCGGCAGCAGCAGCAGGAAGACGGACAGAGGACACGGAGACGTGTCCAGGTCGAGCTGTGCGAGAAATAAGAGGAAGAAAGAAAAGGAGGGAGACACATTACATATCTTGTTAACTTCATCATGTGTGTTTATTTACTAGATATTTAATTTAATTTGATGCAGTTTCAGCTGTGTTGATTCGGTCAGTTTGTGTGTCCAAACGCGTGCCAAACGCGCTCATCAGATCAGATATAGATCAGAATATATCGATATAGATCTAAATATATGTGCTGACTCAGATTAATAGTTGTTGGTGATTATTTATTGCACTGAAATGTGCCTGACACTGTGGAAACCTGCCGGTGAGGCATCAGTGACGTATGTCGATACGCCGCCGGTCTACCAAAATACTACTAGACCAGCTGCGTTCCGCCTTGCGCTGAAAGCTGACCAGGTTTGAATCGGCGAGCTTTCAGCGCACGTTACACGCCAGTGGCGAGCACGAAAATGTCACTGCGCCAGCTGATTCTGTCAACACCTCCCCCTGCCACGCCACCACGCCCAGCTTGGCGGATCTCGGCTCGCCTCCGTGCGACTCAGTCCACGAAAATACCAAACTCGCCTTACGCCGGGCTCCACCAGACGAAAATACAACTGCGCGGGGCTCGCCGCCCTCCGCCGCCTCACCGGCGCGAACGAAAATAGAGCCCCAGGTCTTAATCTCACCCTCAGAGCCCAACACTCCTGGAGTGTCAATCACTGAGATCTTCTTCCCAAAGACAGTTCCTTCTTCTACAGTGATTCCCTTTGTCACTGGTCTAAAGGATGATTCTGATGTAAACGCTCTCCACCCCAGAATGGTGTTTCCTCTCTTACCGACTTCAGAGTCCCTAAAAAAGATGAGGTTGAGATCTTCTCCTGGACGTGGATTCATCTTTGAGTGAGTCAAAACCTGTAAAAGGAAAAGGAGAAGGGTGAAAATATCTGAAAGGTATTTGGTTGTTGTGCTTTTATTTTGGTGGGCATGGCAAACTTAATATCCATGAGAAGCAGTATATCAGCAGCACACTTGTTCTATGGACAGGGACAAAGTGATCGCTTGAGTGTTATAAGACTACTTAGAGAGCTTTACACTCACTGAATTCAATTCAATTCAGCTTTATTTATATGGCACTTTTCGTACAAAAGGAAATGCAGTTCAAAGTTCCTCACAGAGGCTAAAAACAACAATAAAAACAAAAACCCAACCCTTCTACCCACACATACACCCATGGACCCACACGCACACAAAGACACACACACACACCCTCATTCACCCACACATACACACACATACACAACCGCACACAGTGTGAGAATTAAAGATATAAGTTAAAGAGACATGGCCTGACACCAAGTCATTACATGAGGAACGAGTGACCTTAAGGAAACACTGGAGATAAAAATGAAGATAAAAATGGTGAAAAGAGTAAAACCTGATGGACTTAAAATAAGAAAATAATATTAAATGAACAAATAAATAGAAGGGGTAAAAGGAGTAAAAACCTGTGACGGGAAACTAAAAAAGGCTAAGAACAGAGATAACGAATAGAGTGACATAAAATAAACATGAAGAACTTTGATTAAAATGAACATTTGCAAAAAGAGAAATCTAAAATGGCAAAAAAGCCAGGTTAAAAAAGTGAGTCTTGAGCCTCTTCTGGCAGGCTGTTCCTCAATCAGGGACCATAAAAACTGAAAGCCGCCTCCCCGTCTGTTTTCGGTTTGACTTGGCATTAAAAGGTTAAAAGGCCGGTACTGGAGAGCCTGAGGACAGAGGAAGTTACATCAGACATCCTGCCAAAACCCTCATTTTGTCACACCGCCCTCCCATGAAACTCATGGGGCTTTTGGAAACATCAAGTTCAACATTGGAAGGATATCCTGATCAGTGTTTACGTAGATCTGTTGAATGGTATTTAAGTTTACAGAGGGACTGTATGGTACTTCGTTTGGCCACAAGGGGGTGCTATGACTATGATGACGTATGACCATATGAATTACTTCAGGCTTTGGCCCTTATGGGATGTTTGGATTGGATTGGGGTGTGCAAAGCTGACCTGAAACTACTTAACCCTAACCTAGAGGGCTCACCATGGGCTCTGGTTCTTTAGTACAGATCCAGTGAACACAGTATGTTGATCCTCTTGGGACCTCTGGAAAAGACCCATAACCAGCACAATTAGCTCAGGGTATACACTTTGAAGGGGGGCGCTAGGGAGCTAAGTTTTCTTCCATTGTGAAATTTTTCACCTCTAACCATGAAACCTAATCTAATCTAATCTAATCTGATCTACTTTAATCCAGTGAAATAAAATTAAATTCAATCCAAGACAAAATCGATGAAAATCAGAAGCCGAAGCAGGAAAAGCACCAGTAATGGAATCATACTTACAATCTGGAGTAAGATAAGAAGAGCTTTATTTATCCCAGAGGGGAAATTCAATAACAATAGTCATAGATAGCCGTGGTATTGATCATGTCTCAACAGGAAGGATGGTGACTATAATTGTATTGCTGTGGTCATGTTAAGAGCATGTGGCTGTTGTGTTGTAGAGCATAAATTGTACAACGATAAACTTCCATCTCCTACCTTCACCCAAACTGAACTGTTTGGCTGTTACAGAAAATCTAGAGAAGTTGTAAAAGTGGATAAGAGGAAGTTTTTAAAGACCCACTCTGATGAAAATCATGTTTTTCTTGTTGTCTTCATGTTCATATGACATTCACACTTACAAAAGTCTTTTGTAACTTACAAAAGTATTGTAATCAGACTTTTCCAGACCAGACAAAATGTTCCTTCACATTCAGTCAGATCAGAAAGTCTCAGAGCTCCAGATTAGATCAAAGTTTGGGGTGTATCTGCGAATGATAAAATACTTCAAATCCACTGAAAGAGGAAAAAAAAAACATTGAAGTATTGAAAAAAGTCAAAGTGTCTGTCCTGTACAGATATTATCCTTCCCTTTAGTGTGTTTCAAATTCATTTTTCCTGTGAGCAGTTTATAATTCTTCATGTCAAAGTTGAACCTTATTTGATGTGCAGCAGTTTCCTGTAAATATTCGATCCACAGCTCTATGTCTTTAAAAACTCAGGAGATAGACAACAAAACAAAAACAACAACAACAAACAGACAAACAGACAGACAGACAGACAGATACTGACCTGAGAGTAGAGATGCTGCTGTGGTGAGTTTCCAGAAAAGGGTGTCAGAAGAGCTTTCGGTTTCTCGTTTAACAGATCAAATAAAGCCACACCCACTGAGCAAAGCTCCTCCCTGAAATCCTCCTCAAAATAAAATCCTGTGATCCACGGCCTAAGAAATCCTGTTTTGAATATTTTATCATAAGGTCAGTCTTTGTAGAGGTCTGTCCGTCTGCCACAAGTTTACAGCGTTGATGGTCTCACTGATTCTGGTTTTATTCTTTACTTTAAAAAAAAAACAGGGTCAGAAAACTTTAGTTTTACGGGGTGTTCACACCAAGCGCAAGTGAAATAATCTACTTGCTTCATTTGTGTGAATCTCAATGCGTGAATGAATCATATTTACTTGCTTTATTCATGTGGGTGTCAACAGATTGAGTAAAAGCTGTGGATAGCCACTTATGCTAATTTCAGCAGTGATCCTTGCACTGCTGAAATTAGAGAGAGGACAATCGTGAAACAAGCATGTGTTTTAGTGGATTGCAATGTTCGTAAGAAAGCTGATTATGAAATTAACTTTCATTATATCCTTGAAGACATTAGTGTCCGAGAGCTGAATAGCTCTGATGTTACCTGCTTCTTCTACCACACAGACAGTGTTAGGCTATAAGCTAGCGTGAAGAGGAGTGTGCAGAGCAGCGCTGTCTCCGCCCTCAACTCTAATGAGCTACTGGAGCTCTGCAAAGAAAAGCCCTAAAAATGACACAGGGGACTTGATTTTGGCTAAAAACTTAATCTGTTCTGTTCTACTGTTCATGAACAAACTTTTATGCATTTTTGCTCAATATTACAACGTTTTTCATGAGAAGTTGTGCTTTACTTCAGACTCAGTATGAACACAAAGGAGTTGGTGGAGAAATATTAGTCAGGTTGTGCTCAGAAGATGGAAAATTCCAGGTTCACTGAGAAGATAAGGTGGAGGAGAACATCACTGTGATACTGAAACTATGCAGGGACAGCAACAGCATAACCAGTAGGATGAGTCTAAGCACAGAAGTGACGTGTTTAAAGTCGTCTGTTGACCGTATTTAGGATCAGTCCTCTCCAATCAAAAATGAACTTTAACTATAAATCCGAAACCCTGGTGTCTTTTGTAACTTACAAAAGTATTGTAATCAGACTTTTCCAGACCAGACAAAATGTTCCTTCACATTCAGTCAGATCAGAAAGTCTCAGAGCTCCGGATTAGATCAAAGTTTGGGGTGTAACTGCAAATGATAAAATACTTCAAATCCACTGAAAGAGAAAAAAGTATTAAGAAAGGTCAAAGTACCCATCCTGTACAGATATTATCCTTCCCTTTAGTGTGTTTCAAATTCATTTTTCCTGTGAGCAGTTTATAATTCTTCATGTCAAAGTTGAACCTTATTTGATGTGCAGCAGTTTCCTGTAAATATTCGATCCACAGCTCTATGTCTTTAAAAACTCAGGAGATAGACAACAAAACAAAAACAACAACAACAAACAGACAAACAGACAGACAGACAGACAGACAGTGAGCTACTTTTTATTCCTATTTTCATTAAAAAAGTTGTGGATATGAGAGAGGGGCGGAGTCTCCATCAAGCATGGTTGGAGTGAATCACGTTCAGCGGATTGCTGTTTATTTTTTGTTGTGGAAGACCCACAACCATCAGAGATGTAGGTGTCGCTTTTATTTTGAGGTGATAGACACAAAATGATAATAATAATAAAGAAATAACACAGCTCTATTACAAAGCAGAACCTCATTAACAAATATGTCTAAGCTGATTTCTGTTATTCAACCAGATACTATTAAAGTACATTCAATTAGTGTAAAAAAAACTGTGATTGTTCAACATCAAAACAACTGAAGAATAAATGATCTAAACACAAGTTCATTAATCAGAAAGCTGCAGAAAAAAGTGGAGATACATATTTTTATTTCCTTTCCTAGAATCACAAGACAAACATTTTCAGAAATCACATTTTACATGTTAGTGAAACATTTATAAACTTTCACAAACAAGAATTAAATCAACCTTCTCCATAGTGAACCATCAATGATTATAACCTGACATCATTCATAAAGAGTCAGTTTAAACACATTATCAACTATGAATACACAAATATATATATACATACAACAAGCTAATAAAAGAATAATTTTCCCCCTGACCTTTAATATTGAAGATAACTGTAAAAGAGGGGCTGATCTGGGTCTGTGAATACCTACAGTCTGTAGACTGTAAATTATGTCAGATCTCAGAAAGCTTGAAGGTCTTTTCATTAAAGAGGAAATATATTTATTTTCTAAGATTATGATAACAAGAGTTACGTATGTGGGATTTGAAACACCAAACTTTGTGTTCTGATCTCCTCTACCCCCGTCTTATCACCTGTGACCTCCTTAAGCTCACAGTCATCCTCACTGAAATGCTGATATCTTCTTCCCCTTATTCTCTCACGAACATTTTCATAGGCCTCTCTTATTTCAGCCAGCAGCTGGAGGAAGAACTCCCTGATGGATTCCCACAGCTCAGATGGCTTCTTCAACAAATCAGAGGTGAAGTATTGTTTGTTAGTTTCTACCATGACATCGATTTTATCCAGGAGGTTTCTGACCTGCTCCCTGTTTCCTATCTTTGTGTTGTCAAACACACAGTATCTGCCTCCACAGCGGTCAACCAGATCTTTCAGCTCTCTCTTACCATTGATGAAGGTGTCAATGGATTTACCTTTCAGCTTATCACCATAAGTGAACAAAACCATGAAGTACTTTTTAGCATCTTCACCAAACATCTTGAGAAGAACCTCAAACATTTTGATCTCTACTGACATGACTCTTCCGATCTCCACGACTATGAGGAAGGCGTGAGGACCTGGTCTAGCCTTTCTGACTGACTCTATAATCTCCAGGAACAGCTTTTTGGGAGACAGAACTTTATCTGTGATGCTGGGAGTGTCGACCACAGTGACTTGACGTCCCTCCACTGTGGCTGATCGAGAATCAGTCTCTGTGGTGATGGGGTCAGTCAGGGTCACAGCCTGATCTGAACCCCTCTGAGCCCAGGATGGTGTTTCCTGAAGCACTCTTTCCGTTTCCAGGTAAACCCAGAAGCACAACTCTTCTCTGTGTTACTGGGACAAAAAAATGGCCCGGGTAATTTTGGCCATGGCGGCCCACCATGATTACGATATGCAGAGGCACATACCAGAGGATATATATGCATTTTTTGTCATTTCAAAAATTAAAATAAAGTGCAGCAGCCTACATGACAGAGATGAACATGTTGAAAAACGGATATGCTCTTTCAGTAATTACAGAGAATTTCACTTCAAGAGATGGCCACAGTGTCATAAATCCAATCTTGAAGTGAAAGTAGGGTCAAAGAAACACTGCTATTAATGCCTTTTTAATGTTTGATAAATAAAGTGTTTATGAAAATACACAGTTATGCCCACACTGAAACCATACATGTAAAATAAAGAGACACCTTATCAAAGTGGCACCTTAACGTATGAAAAACAGAGAGAGAATGAGAGAGATGCAAAGACAATAATTTTATAACTTCTGAATTGAGTTATAATGCAGAGTGAGCAGCAGATCCTTCCTGGGTTTGGAGGAACAACAAACCCAAATTAGCAATTGCACTTTTAGAACAAGCCCCCAAAAATTCGCAACCCACAATTTCCAAAATTTACAAGAACTTTTCATAAGAGAAGCCAAATTGGTTTTTAATAAGCAAATCTGGGGTCTTATGTATCAATACTTGCGTGGATCTCATACTAAAAAACGGCAGTCGCAAGAATCCGAAAGTTGCGCACGCAGGAAAAAAATCCAGATGTATCAATCTGTGCGCCAGAATCCACGCACATTTCCTTGATACATCCCAATCAGTGTGAAACTAAGCGCAGATGTCGGAGTGACCGGGCCCTCCCCGGTTACGCCCACCTATAAATATGCAAATTTATTTAAATAGATGCTGGTCAGGGAAGTTAAGGAGAGACAGGAGATTTTGTTTGGCAGCCTGTCCAGTGGTGTCAGCACAAAAAAAAAGTTGTGAGTGGGATGAGGTGTGTGAGAGGGTGAACACGGTGGGTTCGGAGCAACGCACCCCTGCAGAGAAGAGAAAAAAGTGGTCGGATCTCAAGGTGGAGGTCAGGCGGTGTACAGCTGCTGTCCAAAGGAGTGCCGGCCAGACAGGTGGGGGTCAGCTGGGTCCGCCAGCTCAGAGTCATCTGCCAGGACCAGCGGCATTTGGGCCAGCCCCTCCACCGGCCCCAGCACCAGCACCAGGCCAACAAGCAGTGGATGATCCTCCAGCCCACCCGGACCCAGCGGAAGGGTCCTGACACAGGCAGCCCTGCAGTCCCATGAGGACATCATTAGGGGAATAACGGGGATCAGTAAGCGGCTCGACCGCCTGATAAATGTTCTGCAATGTTTAATGGAAAAAATAAATTAATCTGGCTTCATGAATTGTGTCATTGCTTCTTACCCATTCACATTGTGGAAGTGAAATTCTGATGTGCAAGGACGGTTGCCCGGCCAGGATCGGCATCCATCCCTCCAGCCTCTGGTTATCTCGTGGGGGGATGGATGCCGCTCGGCCTGGAGGACGTCAAGCAGGCTGGTCACATTATGAAGGATGCCACATGCCATCACAATGTGACACACCTTTTCCAGGCAATAGAGCAGCATGACTCCACTTAGGTGCAGGCAGCGCCACCGACCCTTCAGCTGGCCGATGGCCCTCTCCACCATTGACCGAGTGTGGGAGTGGAGGTTATTGAACCTCCACTCTCGGTCAGTGCGGGGGTTGTAGAGAGGGGTCATCAGCCAGGTTCTCGTGTCGCTCCCATCTTATTGCACCGTTTGCCGCGTCCTCCAACAGCACAAGTGCTGCCATTGTTGAAAGTTGCACATTCAGCACAAATGCACACACACACACACACAAACAACAGCCCTCTGCCTTACCGACATGAAACGTCACTCTTCAGTGAAATTTTGGCTACTTCTTACTGGGCTGACAAAGGCTATTCTGAACTCCCCCTCACACTGTCCCTGAGTCTCCTCTGAATCTGCTGGTCCTTCCTTTACCAGCCCTGCACCTGTTGCTGAAGATGAAATGGAAGGGGCAAACATATCTCAGTTTGGCAAATTTTGCCACTTTCACTTGAAGTCTTTTTCCAGTGAAAAATCTTTTAAGTGATTTCAAGCAATTTTCAATAAATTAGACATCAGAAGAAGGTTCAGGAAGAATAGGGTTAGGGGTTAGGTTTATTTCTGCTCATTTAATCTTGTTTCATAACTTACAAGTTATGAAGTTATCTTGTCATAACTTACCTCTGAGGTGGCCTGATTTCTTCAGCAGCTCTTTCACTTGTTCTTGTCCTCCGTTCTCATTGTTGAACACATGAAGTCTCCCTGCAAACCTTTCAGCGAAAGGTCTGAGGGGACCTTCTGGATCTGACTTGATGAACTCATCCTGTGACTTGCTACCCAACCTTTCCCCTTTTGTGAAGAGCAGGTAAGAGTTGGACTCTTGATCCCCGATCACCCTCAGAGCTGCCTCTACAGATTTCTTCTGCTCATTAGTGAATCGATCTATTCCAACCACCACCAGGAACAAACAAGGTGTGGAGGTCTGGAGGAGGATCTGACACCAGGGGCCTCGTGTATCAATGCTGGCAGCACCAGAAAACCTTGCATTTGCCAAGATCGGTGCACACGTCCAGATTTATCATCGCAACACGAGCATCGGTTCCAGCGCAAATCCACGTGAGGAGGTGGTGTAGAAGTTGGCGTTGAGCCGATACTTGCGTTGACAGTACTTTGGCGATGCTGTGTGGCGGTGTTTGGTGACTCACTATGTGACAAGCGTTCACACATCGCAGTGGATTAACTGTTAATCCGACAGGTGTTCGTGTTTGTGTTAATCATTAACACAAACACGAACACCTGTCGGCATTACTGGAGTGGTTATAAGAGAAACGGTACTCATGTGCAGAATACAACTACAACTACAAATAAAGAAGACAACTTTAACAATGGCAGCACTTGCTCTCCTAGACGACATCAAAAACCGTACAATCCGACGCGAGCGTCACTTCATGGAGCGGGAGGACCTGCTCCAGAACTCAGACGAGTGGCTCGTGAGCCGGTTACGGCTACCGTGGGCCATCCTGCTGGAGCTATGTGAGGAGCTCCGCCCAGCGCTCCAGCGCACAACGGCCAGAAGCCGAGCGGTGCCCGTGCCAACGCTGGTGCTGGGCACACTTGGCTTCTTGGCCACAGGCTCCTTCCAGCGGGAGATGGCAGACCGTTCTGGGGTGAGCCAGCCCACCATCAGCCGGGCCATGCCCATGGTGGTGGACCAGCTGATCCGCCTCTCCCGCAGGTACATCAAATTCCCCTACAGTGCGGATGAACAGGCCAATATTAAAACGCAATTTGCAGCAATAGCCGGATTCCCAAACGTAATCGGAGCTATTGACTACACTCATGTTGCCATAAAAGCGCTGTCCAATGACGAGTACGCTTACATCAACTGTAAAGGCGTTCACTCCATCAATGTGCAGATCATCTGTGATGCGCAGATGAATCTGCTCAACATTGTTGCGAGGTGGCCCGGTTCAACACACGACTCGCACATCCTGTGCAACAGCACTGTTGGGGAGAGGCTCCAGGCAGGTGCAGTGACAGACGGGTGGCTGCTGGGTGAGTAAATATGTAATGATATAATGTTATTCAAGGAACTCGATGTGCATCAGTGACTTGAACCAAATGTGTGCAACGCTGATGTATTGTACTCTGTGTTTGATTGGGAGTACTCGATGGATGTTGTGGGTTATTGATTGCTTATTGCTTGCTATTATTACAACGCATCAAGCTCAAGACTTAACACACTGTGCTTTTTCTGAGGGTGACAGTGGCTACCCCCTCAGGACCTGGCTGATGACCCCTCTCCACAAACCCCACACTGACCGAGAGCGGAGGTACAACCATCTCCACTCTCGCTCTCGGTCAGTGGTGGAGAGGGCCATCGGCCATTTAAAGGGTTGGTGGCGCTGTCTGGACCGGAGTGGCGGTTTGCTCATGTATCGCCCAGAGAAGGTGTGCTGCATTGTGATGGCGTGTGGCGTCCTCCACAATGTGGCACACCTGCACCACATCCCCGTGGCCGAGCAGCACGTCGCCCCACATGAAGAACCAGCAGCAGACGGAGGGATGCGAGCTGATCCCTGCTGGGCCACCGTCCTCGTGTGGGAGAATCTCATCGCCACAATGTGAATGGGTAAGAAGTGAATACACAGTTCAATGAGCAAAATCTATTTATTTTCGCCACCAGACGCTCGAGGACATTTACGAGCCGGTCCAGCCGCTTGTTGATATCCGCGATACCCCTGATGATTTCTTCCTGCAATTGCAGGACCGCCTCCGTGAGGACCCTTCCACTGCGTCCGGGTGGTCCAGCGGAAGCGCCGCGGCTGGTGGACGCTCCACTGCTTGTCGGCGTGCTGGTGCTGGTGCTGGGGCCAGGGGCCGGGGTGGCCCGAATGCCGCTGGTCTTGGCCGACAACTCCGAGCCGGCAGACGGGCTGCTGCGGGCCGGGGTTCCACAAGCCGGCGACACGGCCGACACATTGATTTCTGTGACACAATAAAAATATTGGTTCATTTCAATTCCTGCTTCTGTGTATCTGTTGCGTTTACATCTATGGCAAAGCATGTGGACATTTGTGTGACACGCCACTTACCCTCCGGCAGGCTGTCTGAGTCGCCGCGGGTAGCGGCGACAATCCCCCCCACAGAGGCGCCCCCCATAATCGCCACCATCCGCTGCTCAAACGGCGTGAGGGTCTCCTCCCCCGGACCCCCACCTGTCTGGCCGGTACTCCTCCGGAGGGCAGCTGTACACTGCTTGACCTCCACCTTGAGGTCCGACCACTTTTTTTAATCTTCGCGGGGGTGCGTGTCTCGGAACCCACCGCATTCACCCTCTCGCAAACTTTCTCCCACTCCAAGCATTTTCGTTTTGCACTGACGCCACTGGACAGGCTGCCAAACAAAACTGTCGCTCCTCCACCTCCGCCACCAGCAACTCCACCTCGCACGCCGTAAATTTCATTTTTCTTGTCATTTTGTCTGCCTGCAAGGACAGGGAGACCCTATTTAAATAAATCTGCATAGTGGGCGTAACGGGGGCGGGCCCTGTCACTCTGACATCTGCGCTCAATTCCACGCTGATTGGGATTTATCAAGGAAACACACGTGGCTTTTGGCTCCTGCACACCTTGATACATACAAATTTTTTTCAGCGTGACGGACCTTGCGTGCGCGTGTTTCAGGTATGAGTCTCACGCAAGTGTTGATACATGAGGCCCCAGGTCCGAATCTCACCCTCAGAGCGCAACACTCCTGGAGTGTCAATCACTGAGATCTTCTTCCCAAACACAGTTCCTTCTTTTACAGTGATTTCCTTTGTCACTGGTTCAAAGGATAATTTTGATGTAAACGCTGTCCGCCCCAGAATGGTGTTTCCTGAAGCACTCTTACCCACTCCACTGTTCCCAAGAAGGATTATGTTGAGATCTGGTGCTGGATTCAGATGTGGGTTCATTTTTGACTCAGAACCTGCTTGAGGAAAGAAATATGGAGGTTATAAGATCGTATCAACGGTTGGATTTTGTGACTGTCGTCTTATTTTGGTAGGCAAAGCAAACTGTTGACTCCTGTAGTTTATCGTCAGCTTCCTGTTGACCTCCACTCTGCTCTGCTACACCTCTGAAAAACTGGAACTGGACACAAAGCCCAACGTTCACCATTTGCAACACAATTTGATTTGTTGAGTCATTTAACCGGCAAATGAACCTGTACATCACATTTCTCAGAACCGCTTGCAGTGTATTTACACCAGTCCTCACAAATAACTCACTCGCACTTGCCCATCTGGGCCTTTTTAAGAGTATCCTCAGAGCATCATTGTAAGCAGTTTCTGAAGACTGCCTTTTTTATAGTTCAGCCACAGGTGTGCGGTGTACAAAGGTGAACAATACGTTTTAAACAAAATGAGCTTTACATCATTAGTGCAACAACCAAATTTACGTGACAATACATTCGCTCGAACATACAACAAACGACACTGGCGATAAATGTCTTCATCATCTGTCAGCTGGTCTGTGATGATGTGACCAAGATATTTCACTTCACTGCAGACATTTAATACTTTACCAGAGAGTTTAAAATCAGGAAACGTCAAAAGTCTGTCTTCCCTGGTTCTACAGATCATAATAACACTTTTTAACCCATTATACTTGATATCATGTTGTTCTCCAAACACAGTACACACATTAAGGAGCTGCTGCAGACCAGCTGAGCTCGGACTAAAGATGACGCAATCATCCGCGTACATAAGATGGTTCATCACTGTACTGCCAACCATACAGCCAGTGTTACATGAGGTTAAATTGTTTGATAAATCATTCATGTAGAAATTAAATAAAATAGGTGATAAAATGCTCCCTTGTCTTACTTCATTACTGACATGAAAAGGAGCAGACAGGCAGTTGTCCCATTTTATGAACATAGTTTGTTGGGCATACCAATAGGACAAGATTCTGATTATATACTTAGGGACACTCGCTACAGCCAGCTTTTTGAATAATATTCCATGATTAATCCGATCAAAAGCCTTGGAGGCATCTAGAAAACAAATAAAAACATGAGTTTTTTCTCTTATAATTACTTAGCAGTTCCTTTAACACAAATATCCACGTCTGTCCCGTGTCTCGATTTAAAACCAAATTGAATATCTGTAGACGCAATTAGTTCATTAATCCGCTCCATGAGAATTTGTTCAACAACTTTCGACAATATATTAGCTAGGGTGATGGGCCTGTAATTATCTGAGGAACCCAATTTTCCTGCTTTATCTTTAACCAAAGGAACAAGCTGCACTGTCATCATGGAGTCTGGAAGAAAGCCATGGACTATGAGAGCAGTGAAACATATGGCCAGAAGTATACACAACCTAGGGCTTGCAAATTTAAGATGTTCTGCAGAGATAGAATCCATACCTGTCGCTTTGTTAGATGACAGGCATTTAATCGCTTGGAAGACCTCACAATATTTTATCATATTTATATTTTCAACATTTACTACTTGATAACGATTAGTCTGAACACAGTTAAACAATATATATACATATATATAAGAAAGGCTGTTGGAATGTGGTCCAAAGCTTCCTGTTGACCTCCACTCTGCTCTGCCAAACCCCTGAAAAACTGGAAGTTCTGATGCCACCAACTTCTCTAGAGAAGGTCTTTTCCTTCATGTTACTGGAGGACTTCATTTTAATGCCAGCAAGGAAATAGTCCTGAACCCAAAGTCTGTCAGCCAAGATATCAGTATCCCTGTTATCTGTTCTGCACCAAACTCACCCTTAAACCAGTAGTTAGACAGGACCAGCTGACAACACAAGAAACAGTACCGATTTAATATTACTTGAAATAAGACTCTCTCACTGTGTCTCTTTTGTGCCCTTTAAATAAAGTTCGTACATGGGCTTCAGACTTTAGACCACATTCCAACATTAACTCATTAAAGTCAATGATACCAATAAACCACTTAATGTTATTCTATAAACAAACAAACAAACATAATAAAGGTGAACAGATACTGACCTGAGAGCAGAGCTGCTGCTGCTGTTTCTGAGTTCTGAGAGGAAAATAACTTATTTCTTGTATTTTTCATTAAAGTATTTCATCAAGAATACTGATTTACAAAAAACCACTTCCTGTAGTGGCTTTCAAAATAAAACAACCGTCACTGTTTTCCTTCAGACCAGAGTTAATTTTTGAAGATTTGTGCTCACATGTTTTCATTTATTCTCCTTAAAATTAAGTTTCTGTGTTAAAAAAAACGTTTGTTTCGTTTATCTCTCTCCTTTTAGAACACGTACTTTATCAGTGTGGTTTTATTTTGTCGGCCGTTTATCGGATATCACTTTTCGCTTTTAGCTTGTCCCGCTGAATGACAGAGATTAAATCAACCAGAAAGAGGAGAAAAAACCTGAAATGGCGTCGAGTGAGATCGACAGTAAGCTCAATTTACCTTTAAGTGAAAAAATATCTCCACAGACTGAGATTTAAAGTTGTGGACAGACTTTCTGTCGTACTTTAGATTTTAGAGAGAGAGATATTTGTTTTATCGTGTTATTTATCCTTTTACAGTTGAACGTTAACTTTCACTTTCGGTTACAATCAAAATGGCGCTGAAAACAGCAGGATTTATTTATTTTACAGAGAAGTCCATTTATAACTATCAAACTATCAGCGTTTGATTCAATATTAATATTCATTATAGTTTATTTCATATACACCTTTGGTCAAAAGTTTTAGAAAACCCCAACTTTTCCAGAATTTTATTGAAAGTGATGCAGTTTAATTAGGGTGACCGTATTCTGAATCCCAAATAAGACGACATGACTATGCAGGGGCGGAGTCACGAGTAGTTTATTTTGAGAGTTTTTCAACTGATGGAGTCCAAGCGCCACAAACACAAAACTTCCATACAAAACCCTGGAAAGAAATCATAGAGCCAATTTAGAAACGAAAATTAAAATGTATTCTAAACTTTTGTCTCATCAAAGTAGCCACCTTTGGCAGATAGAACAGCTGAACACACTTATGGCATTCTTTCTACGATGGAAATCAAATATTCTTCTGAAAGTTCTTCACCGACTCTGTTGCTGAAGTTTCCATAAGTGTGTAGCACTTGTAGGTTGTTTTGCTTTTACTCTTCTGTCCAGCTCATCCCAAACCAGCTCCATGGGGTTCAAGTCTGGAGACTGTGCAGGATCCATGTTTTTAAGTTTACCATCTTGTTCTTTTTCTAAGGGTAGTTCTGACATAGCTAGGACTTGTGCTTTGGGTCATTCTCTTGCTGTAGGATGAATCCCTGACCAACTAGGCACATCCCAGAGGGTACTGCATGGTGCTGCCGAATACTGTGGTGGCAGTTTTGGTTCAGGGTGCCTTTCTCTCTGTACAAGTTACCAACACTGGATCCAAACACACTCTCTGTCACAGACAGCAGCAGACTTTATTACACTAAATCAACAACTATTATAGACACTGATTCAACTGACAACATGATAGAAAACATGATACAGATAATATTTTGTTTAAAGTTCTTCCAGTGAAGTCATCTAAAGTCATCTATGGAAATAAAAAAAAACAGTTAATATTCAGAAACAGCTTTAAGCACAGATCCACCAGAGGAGACTGGGACACTCTGAGACAGGACGCCTTGAGACAGGACGCCCTCTTCAGCCACTTCTGAGTTTAAGAATCTTCTCAAATGTTTGTGTTCAGTACAGAGAGCTTTACCACTGTCAGCCTGACAACATTATCATGTAAACAACAATAAAACAATGATGACGAAATAGCATTTATGTTTTCTTCTCTGGTTACAGATGCATTTTTAAAACACAGAAGGTCAAAGGTCAAACCAACACAGTAAAATAAACTTATATCATTTCTTATCAAGAAAACAGAAAAATCTGTTTATCACATCGACCGCATGAAACACAGGGAATTAAAGAAAGAGAAACAACCCTGTGATCTTTTCTGTCAGTTTTATTTTGAAATATCTCTTTCTCTCTCTATCTATATATATATATATATATATATATATAACCATCAATCCATCCATCCGTATATTTATTTTTATATGTCACAATCCCAGTTGACACAAACGAAAAGAGGACCCCAATGCAGGACGACAACAATTGGGTTTATTTGAAAGAAGAATTAAACATGAAGCAACAAAAACATACTGGTAAATGTCCGACTCAAAAATCTAAAATCCAAAAAACCAAGAAAAGCACAGGGGAAAAAAACCATGAAGAGACACTGAAGACACTGGCATACACACAGAGGCCGAGACAAACAATGAACAAAGAAACGGGGGAGACAGGGACTATATATACACACACACACACACACCATCTTTGAGTCTGTTGTTCTGAAATCATCCTTCATTCATGACTCAAACTGTAAAAGGTCAGAGGTCATTCAGAACTCCCAATATCCTCTACCCCAGTCTTATCAACTGTAACCTTCTTAAGCTCACAGTCATCCTCCCTGAGCTTCTCATATTTTCCTCCCCCGCTCTCTCTGTTCCCATCAGCTCCTCCTTTTTTGCCAAAGCCTAAGGCCTTTTTTATTTTAGCCAGCAGCTGTAAAAAACACTCCCATAAGGATTCAAGCCAGGTAGGTGGCTTCTTCAGCATCTCAGAGGTGAAGCGCTGTTCGTTAGTTTTTACCATGACATCGATTTCATCCAGGAGTTTTCTGACCTGCTCCCTGTTTCCTATCTTTGTGTTGTCAAAGACACAATATCTGCCTCCACAGCGGTCGACCAGATCTTTCAGCTCTCTCTTACCATTGATGTAGGTCTCAATGGGTCTACCCCTCAGCTTATCACCATGAGTGAACAAAACCATGAAGTACTTTTCAGCATGTTCACCAAACATCTTGAGAAGAAACTCATGCATTTCAATCTCTACTGGCATGACTCTTCCGATCTCCACGACTATGAGGAAGGCGTCAGGACCTGGTTCAGCCTTTTTTACTGACTCTATGATCTCATTGAACAGCTTTTCGGGAGACAGAACTTTATCTGTGAAGCCAGGAGTGTCGACCGCGGTAACTTGACGTCCCTCCACTATGGCTGATCGAGAATCAGTCTTTGTGGTGACGGGGTCAGGGTCACAGTCTGATCTGAACCTCTCTGAGCCCAGGATGGTGTTTCCTGAAGCACTCTTTCCTTTTCCAGGTAAACCCAGCAGAACAACTCTCCTCTCACTTATGGGGCGAGAATCTAAGGGAGAAGAATGAGAGGACATGAGGAACATGGATTTAGTGACCAAAAGCACATAATTCATTTTACATTTCATTTACTGTTCCTAATACACTCTGATTCTAATATTTAACAGGCACATGAGTTTATACTGTGATGGGTATGAATGAGTGAATTATCATGTTTTTAAAACGTATGAAACACTAAGGTAGCCAAGACTCTTTCTCACTTTTTGGGGAACAACAAAGTTTTGGTGGTTTTATTTTGGTCACTTTGATCCCCGTCCCCAAACTTCAGCTGTAATAATAGTAATAACAATAATAGTTTGTTTGAAACCCTACATAACTCATTGTGGAAGCTATTAAGTAATTTTGCTATTTAGTATTATTTATTTAATGCTTATTTTTCATTTTGCTTTGCTTAATAGATTCAGTTTCAGTCATATAATTTCAGTTATTTTGGGTCACAGCTACGCACTTTTATTTTGAAGGACTTGGGCAATTTGGGCACACAGGTGAATTTACTTAGTTGATGCAGCCACTCAGGCAGGCAGTATGCACCGCGAGGGCACACGGTTTTTTACCTGAAAGAGCAGTAGGCCTGAGACCAAGCAATTTACCATCTTCTCTAATGTTCCAGAGCTGAAATAAACCTGCCTAAAAATCCACTTTCTGGCTGGACAATGGACTCATTACCTGCACGCACTTTCTGAGTAAGATTCGCTGCCCGGTGCCCTCAGTGGCCTTTTGATTTTATCGTTGTTGACAAATAGCCACTACACTCATCAATATACATAAAAATAATAATGATCCAAGGACTAATCCTTGGGGTATACCACGAGAAGTACTGCAAAGAGTCTTCATGAGGAACTAGGATGGTAACAACTGAAGAAACTAGTCCAGGAAACTCTAACCCCAGAGACACACCTATGAGAGGGGATCATCATGACTTCAGGAGAAGTCCTGATAACAACAACTCCAACCGCTCATCTTTGAACGGGGATCATCACGACTCTGGGAGAGACTAGGTCAACAGTCAAGGTGACAACAACTCCATGGACGTACCTCTCATAGGAGGCCGGTCCCATTTTAACATAGATTAGACATGAGAAGAAGGTTCAGGAAGAAGAGGGTTAGGGGTTAGAGTTATTTCTGCTTATTCTATCTTGTGTCTGGCGTCATAACTTACCGTCTCTGAGGTGGCCTGATTTCTCCAGCAGCTCTTTCACTTGTTCTTGTCCTCTGTCCTCATTGTTGAACACATGAAGTCTCCCTGCAAACCTTTCAGCAAAAGGTCTGAGGGGACCTTCTGGATCTGCGTTGATGAACTCATCCAGTGACTCACTACCCAACCTTTCCCCTTTTGTGAAGAGCAGGTAAGAGTTAGACTCTTGATCCCCGATCACCCTCAGAGCTGCCTCCACAGAGTTCTTCTGCTCATCAGTGAATCGATCTATTCCAACCACCACCAGGAACAAACAAGGTGTGGAGGTCTGGAGGAGGTTCTGACACCAGGTCCGAATCTCACCCTCAGAGCCCAACACTCCTGGAGTGTCAATCACTGAGATCTTCTTCCCAAACCGAGTTCCTTCTTCTACAGTGATTTCCTTTGTCACTGGTCTAAAGGATAATTTTGATGTAAACGCTCTCCGCCCCAGAATGGTGTTTCCTGATGCACTCTTACCCACTCCACTGTTCCCAAGAAGGATTATGTTGAGATCTGGTGCTGGATTCAGATGTGGGTCCATGTTTGAGTGACTCAGAACCTGCTTGAGGACAGAAATATGGAGGTTATAAGATCGTATCAACTAGGCTGTATTGGGACAGAGGAAAAAGTGCTTAGAAAGTGAATCTCGTTCCACTTCAGTGGGGCAACATAAACTGTGATTCATTAAATAGCTCTATTGATAGTGAGTACTAAAAAAAAATATCTACTCATACCATACTGTTGATTTTTAGTCATCAGTATTTCGGTGTCGAACTATTTCCCTTCTGCGGTGTAGTGATACTTGCACACGCTCAATCGAATATGCAGGGGGTGAAGCGATTTTTGTCACGTGGACCAATAGGAGCTGAGTCTCGTTGCCATAGTATCAGAAATACACAAACATGGCGACGAGCGCATCTAGCAGCGAAAGGATGCTATATGCATCTGTCATCTGTCCAGAGTGAAGACGTTCTCGACTTTACAAGGACACGTTGGGAAACTTGCAGAACTAGTATTAGAAAGTGTCTTTCTCTACAGGGTGAGACAAAGGACCTTGCAGAAACTTATAAACTTTGAGTTGATATCGACTTTGACAATGTTCCTGATGACACTGGGTTTCACATGACATGCTACCAGCGATTTATTTGCAAAAGGGGTTTGAGAAACAAGAACGTGATGCAGCCGCGGGTCAGTCAAACCCTTAACGCAGCATCGCCAATGCATCCATGTCCACGGCATCTGAAACTCTGCGAAAGAAACTTCGCTCGAGGTCATAGGCTGTATTGGGACAAAGGAAAAAGTGCCTAGAAAGTAAATTTTGTTCAACTACGTTGGTGCTACTCGTTCAATGCATTTTTGCATAGACAATACCCTTCTGGACTTTGGGTTAAAATATCTACTCAGACTACCTGTCCGACTTTTGTCACCAGCCAGAAACGCATCACTATCACTTTCATCGGAGTCATACATTTCTAACTAGTCATTTGTCTCACCCTGTAGAGAAAGCCACTTTCTAATACTAGTTCTGTAAGTTTCCCGACGTGTCCTTGTAAAGTCGAGAACGTCTTCACTCTGGACAGATGACAGATGCATGTAACATCGTTTTGCTCCTTTTTATGCACTTTTGAAGGCTGATTTCTTTTTTTCCTTTTCTTTTCTTCCTCTTCGCTTGTCTCGCTGCGAGATGCGCTCGTCGCCATGTTTGTGTATTTCTGATACTATGGCAACGAGACTCGGCTCCTATTGGTCCACGTGACAAAAATCGCTTCACCCCCTGCATATTCGATTGCGCGTGTGCAAGTATCACTACACTGCAGAAGGGAAATAGTTCGACACCGAAACACTGATTACTAAAAATCAACAGGATGACATGAGTAGATATTTTTTTTTTTTGTACTTACTATCAATAGAGCTTTTTAATGAATCACAGTTTATGTTGCCCCACTGAAGTGGAACGAACCAACACGATCTCACTCAGCCAATACAGCATAAACAGTTGCCTTTTGTGACTGTTTTTTTATGACTGTTATTTTGGTAGGCACAGCAAACTGTTGACTGTCGTAGTTTATCGTCAGCTTCCTGTTAACCTTCAATCTGCTCTGCCACAACCTTTAAAAAACTGGAAATTCTGGTACCACCAACTTCACCATGAAAGTTCTTTTCCTTCATGTTACTGGAGGACTTCATTTTAATGCCAGCAAGGAAATAGTCCTGAACCCAAAGTCTTTTTTTTTATTTTATTTTTTAGTAATTTTGGTTTTCTCAAATGTTTAAGTGTTTTTAAATTTGAGTTTCCAAATTATTTTTGTTTTCAAAACATTGTTTTGTTTTTAAACATTATTTGTTCATATTTTTGTTTGTGAAATGTATTTGTTATCTTAATTTTTGTTTGTTTTCATAATTAAGAGTAGAAAAAAATTCTCAGATTTATTTGCATTTCCCAAAATATTTTGTGTTTAAATTTCCAGAATGTTGAGTTTCTCCATGTACCGACATTTCATATTTGACTGATTAGATTATTGGTCTTTGTACTATTTGTTCCCATCCTTCTTATACTTAAAATAAGAAGTTATATTCATATAATAAAGTTATATTCTTATACAGGTTGAATATGAATCAACAACAAACTCATTAAAGTCAATGATACCTATAAACCATTTTATGTTATTCTATAAACAAACAAACAAACATGTATAAAGATGAACAGATACTGACCTGAGAGCAGAGCTGCTGCTGTTTCTGAGTTCGGAGAGGAAAATAACTTATTTCCTGTATTTTTCATTTAAGTATTTCATCAAGAACACTGATTTACAAAAGTCACTTCCTGTAGTGACTTTCAAAATAAAACAACCTTTACTGTTTTCCTTCAGATCAGAGTTAATATTTGAAGATTTGTGCTCACATGTTTTCATTTATTCTCCTTAAGGTGTGTGTCTGTGTTAAAAAACTTTTTTTTCGTTTGATTCGCTCCTTTTACAACCTGTATTATATCCAGTGTGGTTTTACTTTGTTGGTCGTGTATCGGAAATCACTTCTTGTTTTCTCCAGCTTGTCCCGCTAAAATGACTGAAATTCAATCAACCAGAAAGAGGAGAAAAAAACTGAAATGGCGTCGAGGGAGATCGACAGTAAGCTTCTTAATTTACCTATAAGTAAAAAATATCTCCACAGACCGAGATTTAAAGTTGTGGACAGACTTTCTGTCATACTTAAGATTTTAGAGAGAGAGAGAAATATTTGTTTTATCGTGTTATTTATCCTTTTACAGTTTAACATTTCTCTAACTTTCACTTTCAGTTACAATCAAAATGGCGCCGAAAACAGCAGGATTTATTTATTTGTTTATTTTACAGAGAAATCTGTTTATAACTATCAAACTATCAGCGTTTGGTTCAATATTAATATTTATAATAGTATGTATAATATATATTAATATTAAAAATGGTCTTTTGTATGTTTCGAGGGAGTTTTTAATCCTAAGTAATTGATCTAAAGTTTAAGAGTTAAAACCCTTTTGAAATAATGCAGTTAGCAGGAATCTGTGCCTCTATGATAAATGAAACTTTTATTTTATTCAAAGTTCAGTAAAAACAAATATGATAACTATGAACTACCATTGGATTTAGAGATCTGTAATGACTGAATAATGTTTGTTCTGTGTCTGCAGCTGTACGGAAGAGAAGGAGTATGGACCGTCCCATAGGTCTGAAAACTTACTTTAAATAACATTTGAAACTTTATTCACCGTGTCTTCATGTTGATATATCCTCACTAAAACAGAACCTTGGGCCCCTGTACTGACTCTTTACAAACATGTTGCTGATGTCAAATTTAAATTAGCATTTTTTCCTCTTATCCTTATAAATCAACCCTCAAACATGGTCTTTGTTACGGCTAATCGAGGACTCACACAGAAGTCCACTGACAAACACCTCTCAGGTTCAGATAAGGCTAGGGTTGGGCTGTATCCAAATTTTGATACCAACATACCGTCTCCACATTTTACTGTGGTGTACGGTATTACTGTGACTAACTAAAAATGATGACTTAAGGCTCAGACAGCATCACCAAACTGTTGACTTGTACTGACACCGTTTAGAAACCGAATACCCAACACTAATAATGAAACAATAACAACATAATGTGAACAATATTAACAATTTCTGTTAGAAACAGCTTCAAAAGTGCAAATACAATGATGTACTGCACCGGTATCAGCGGGAGGCGTTGGGACTGCTGCACTGAGTGAACTCAGGAACAAATGTATACTCACAGCAGTGAGCGGGTGGTTAATTCGGAGATGCGTCCTTAAGTTAGAAGTGTTTGCATCTCTCTTTCCGCTCAGATACTCAGCTGTCTGTCAGCCTTGGAATTTTTCAGATTGAACAAACTTTCAAGAATTTACAGTATCGAGAAGCTGAGTAGCGCTCTACTGATACCTCTTGTGTTTGGCAATGACTGCCACCCTCACATGGTTATGACTACCGTAGGAAATCCTATATAGGTGCACGCCCACAATTCTCAGCTTTCCAACATCATTTAAAGTTTTCTGATCGGTCAAACTTTGACAGAGTTACGGTAATAACACTCCGGCCAAACCAAACATATCATTGGGGCTATGAGGGTATTGAAACTGATACCGTTGCTTTTGAAAGACACCGCCGGTTTACCTTATTTCCTTATCATCGCCCAACCCTAGAGAAGGCCGGCTGTTAATCCAAGTAACCCCCCTCCAGCTGTCTCCATCATTGCCCACATGGGCATGAAATCCTCCTGAAGTACTATGGAGTCTCCAGACGTAGCCCTCTCCACCGTAGGCCAAAGGTCTCTGATAGACCTTGGAGTGATGTCTGGATCTGCAGCCGTATGTTCTGGACACTCGAGTGGAGCGAGAAGCAGAGCTGTCAACTGATATGGACTTGACAAACACAAACATGTAGAGTTGGTGAACTAAGAATGGGACAGGGTCCTCAGGGTCTTGTCCATGAGTGGGGATTATGGGTTTGAACCCTTACCTAAGGCCATGAGCTCTGGGTCATGACCAAAACAATACGATCACAGGTCCAGAAGGTAGAGATGAGTTTCCTCTGGGAGATAGAAGCTCAGACTCAGCTCAGGTGGTTCAGACCTACAATAAGGATGCCTTCTTGGCGCCCCCTGTGGAGGTGTTGTGGGCATGGCCAGTGGGGAGGAGACGTCAAGGAAAGCCCAGAGCTCACTGGAGGGGTTAGATATCCCATCTGGCCTGGGACTGCCTTGGAACCCCAGCTGGAAGGGCTGGAGGGAGGGGGTCTGGAGGTCTGGGTTGAGTTGCTGAATGGAGAGTAGCTCTGCAGAGAGGTGGAGGTGTGCTCAGGTGTTGACTGGAACACCTGGAGCTCCTCTGAAGGTAGACTGCTGGATGAGTCTGTGTGTATCAGTAGATTGTCCTCCATCCCCTTAATCCCAGTTTAGACTAGATTAGACTGGATTATGAGCTAATCTGTGATGATTCCTGTTCTGTGTCAGATTTAAGACTGGTCCTCGTTGGGAAAACTGGAGCAGGAAAGAGTTCCAGTGGGAACACCATACTGGGAAGAGACGCCTTCTGTTCAGCTGTCAGTCAGTCCTCAGGTGAGTGAACCCAGGTCAGAATAAAGCTCTCTGATTGGACTTTGAACCCCCAAAAGGGGGCGGGGTTTGGTTTGGTATGTAGGCCTGCTCAGTCGTGAAGGAGAGGTCAGAGAAATAATCCCGTCATAAAAATATCCTAGATCGATGTTGCTTCATTAAAACAAACTGATAAGGGTGGGGGGCCCGCCCTCTCCTGTCATGTGACATGCTGTCATGGCGTCATGTGATGGTTGTCCATGTTTGTGTCCTCAGTGAGCAGACAGTGCTGTAAGCAGACCGGACAGGTATTCAACAGGGACCTGACCGTGATCGACACCCCTGGACTCTTTGACACCTCCTTACCTAAGCTCACCACCCAGAGGGAAATCTCCAAGTGCATCAACATGTCGGCGCCGGGGCCCCACGCCATCCTGCTGGTCATCAAGGTGGGGCCCTTCACTGGTGAGGAGCAAGGCGCAGTTATGCAGGTGGAGCAGATCTTTGGAGAAGATGCCTGGAAGTACACCATCATCCTCTTCACCCAGGACCACGGGGAAAGCGCTGAGGTGGAGTGGCAGCTGAAGAAGGCGGGGCCTGAGCTGCAGAAGGTCCTGGGGAAGGCAGGACACAGATACCACATCTTCAACAACTCCAGAGCTAACGACCGTGGACAGGTCCTGGATCTGCTGGAGAAGGTGGAGAAGATGGTGTCTGAAAACAAAGGGCAGTTTTACTCCAACTACACCTACCTGCAGGTGGTGCAGCTGCTGGATCAGAGGGAGGCGGAGCTTAAAGAGTTCTACAGGAAGAAGCTGCAGGAAGAAATTACAGCTGTGGAGTTAAAGTACGAGCAGAAGCTGAGAGAAGCTCAGCAGGAACGTCCCATCCTGGAGAGACGATGGCAGGAGGAGGTGCAGGAAATCAAGCGATACTACAACTCTCTGAACGGCTCCACGCGGCGTGTTGTGGAGCAAACTGTGGCCTCTGACCCTATAGAGGACATCTGCAACTACCACAAGGCCCTGAAACTGACAATCAGGCAGTAAACTGGACAGTCTGACAACGAACCTGGACCGGCTTTAGGTTCTGAACTCAGGTGTCCTCAGGGTCAGAGGTCACCTGTCAATCACAGAGCTGCCACACACAGGCTGTTTCTGAAATCACTAACGATATAACAAGCAGAATATTTCCAGGATTAAAGGCCAGGATCAAGGTCAATTTATTGTATATCCGTGTTTATTTTCACTCCGTCACTCTGATTTGCAGCTTCAGGTTTCTCTTTTAAAATTTTCATTCGTTAAACTTCAGTTTTGTTTCGTCTCTAAATGTTGTTTTTATGTTTTTATATCTGATTTGATTGGATTGGTGTGTTCTCGTGATTTGAAGCACTTTGGAGGAGGTCAGATCCTGACTGTAGGGCGTAAAGTGATCTTGTAAATATACTTGTCCATGTTTAAAATCAGAGTTTATTTACTCTACACAGCAGACTCTGTTGTACTGTAGAAGGTAGTGTACAACAGATGGTTCCCATCAAAGAAATATATCCCATCATGCATTGTAGCGTGAAAGAAAATGACAGACAGGTGAGTTTTTTTCTTCACCTGTACTCAGTCAGTATAAGACTCATAAAGACATTATATTCAATAAAATCTAAGGTTTTAAAATTGAGTTGAAATGATTTTAACAGTTATGGTTATTCAGAATCTTGATTTGTAAAAGTATGTTCAGTACAAACCTTCATTTATGTCGTAATTGATCTCTAATCTTTGGTCCATTTTAGCAGCATTGATATTCAGTGACCAGTGAGACGGTGAGACGAGTCCGAAGTGTTTTTGTTACGCTCACTATCCAGAATCAGCGCCAAAGCACCAGGTACAGAGTCGGTCACTAAGACATGGGTCTACAAGTGTCTCAGAAGTAGAAGGGGACTGATCAGATTCCCTGTTTCAGTCATTCTTCCTCTGGAGGCGACAGAGCTGGAGTGCTCATGTGTTCATAAAGAGCCGAGTCTTTAAATAGGTAGACCAGGGGTCCGTTTCACATAGGTGGTTCAACAAACTCTGAGTTAAATCCTTAACTCTGAGTTGATCTACTCTGAGTTAGGAAACTCTGAGTTTCCGGTTTCACAACACCTGATTTGAGACGGTTTTAACAACTCCGAGTAGTTTGACCTGGAGTTAAGCACGTGCACGCCAGACATAAACAGCCAGCATCTGTGGAGCACAGATTCAATGATCAACCAATGGAAACAGGGAGAAGGAGGGGGCAGCAGCAAGCCAACAGCGAATTACAGCACGTTTTTAAAAGAAAGTGCAATACAGCAGCAGCTGCAAAGGAGAGGGAGAGGGCTTGGGAGGAAATCGCTGCTCGCGTCAATGCGTAACTTTAAATCTAGTCTCGTGCAATCACAATGACAGACTGTTGCAGGGAAACTGCTTGAATCATTTTGATCATGTTTTACATTGTCAAGTAAGTATTAAGTGGCAGTTTGATCCCTTAGAAAATGCTCTTTTCACACTCAAAAATGAATTTTACTCTCTTATGATGTTCTGTTAAATGATTAGGAATATTAAACTAACTCTCAGTATGTATATGTACATATATTAAACTAACACACACTACACTCAATATTAGACTTTCACTCAGCAAACAGAAAGAGGGCAGATGCCAGAAAAACGGGTGGTGGCCCAGCAGCCCCACCTTTAGCGGAGGCAGAGGAGCTGCCCCCCCCCCCCCCCCCACCCCGTAGCAGCGATCGTCGGACTGGTGTGCGTGCATGTGTGTGTGTGTGTGTGTGTGTGTGTCTGTGGGGGGGGGGGGATTTACGATCGGACCGGCCGCGATCGTCGAACGGGGGTGGGGGGGCAGCTCCTCTACCTCCGTTAAAGGTGGGGCTGCTGGACCACCACCCGTTTTTGTGTTAGTTTAATATTCCTAATCATTTAACGGAACATAATAAGAGAGTAAAATTCAGTTTTGAGTGTGAAAAGAGCATTTTTTAAGGGATCAAACTGCCACTTAATACTTACTTGACAATGTAAAACATGATCGAAATGAGAAAATGCCGATGTCTCACCTGAAACTCTGGGTTTACTGAGTTAAACCTGCTCCCGAGCAGGTTAGGTTCACGGAGTCTGTTACCGTGGTAACTGACCGCGAGGTTGAGTTACCTCTCTTTGTGAAACAGGTTAGAGTTACCCCTCTCTCCCTGGTTTAACTAACCCTCCTTTGTGAAACGGAAAACTCAGAGTTTCCCTGATTTCAGGGTTAACAAACTCGGAGTTTCCATTAAACCTGCTACGTGAAACGGACCCCTGAACTCTGTGGATCGGACTCCTGAGTGAGTGACAGCCGACATGAATGATCTAAAGCAAAACTGTGATACTGACAGAGTTCACTCATTCATAAGCTCAGATGAACTCACTTAGCTGACTGTAATTTTTGATCTGAACTCATTAGAATCAAAAGACAAAAACACTCAAACCTTTCAGATTTAACTGTAAGAGGTATAAAATATATAAAAGTAGGAAAAATGCTAATTTGGCAGACAGTCGGTGGAAAAACATAAAAATGAGCGGAAACGCTGAAGACTGAAAAAAACTTTCAAACGGCTTAAGTTTAGAGAGGATTAGTTTTTATATCCGCAGGAGTAAGAAGAAGTGAAAAAAGTGGTTAAAGTAGAAAAATGAAAAAGTAAGCAGGACAGAGGTTGGTGTGGGAAGACGAGAGAGAAGTTAAACAGAAACAGGAAGTAGAAAACTTTAAAGTGAAGGTTTGGTCTTCTGCAGGAACAGGGGGCCTTCAAGAACCTTAAAACAGGTCTTAAAGAGCTTTTAAGAGATTTTAAAGAGATCTTAGAGTTTTTAGATGGATTTCAAAGAGCTTCTAAAAAGCCTGTAAATTGTTTATAAAAAGCTTTAAAATGTTTTTTTAAGAGCTTTTAGTGAACTTTTTGTCACAGCAGAGTTTTAACAAAAGGAAAGGATCCAAAATGCAGACTCAAAAAAACTAAAGATTTAATAAACCAGGTTTACAACAGCAAAAAATAAAAACTTGTTTTTAAAATCCAACAAAATCAGCAAAAACCCAAAAACCAGAATCAGAGAATCGAAAGAAACGAAGAGGAAGAGGGAAAACCACGAGGACACGAGGTAGGACAGACAGAGCATCAACACATGAACCAACAAAGAAGACTATATACACTCACAGGGTAACGAGCAACGAGACACAGGTGAGACAGTTTAGGGAGGAGAAACACAGGAGGTAAAATGAAGCTGGTAACACAAAGAGAAGGGAGTAAAAAACAAGAGAACACTTAAAACAAGAATAAAACACTGAGAACAGGATGATAGACAAACTGACAACACATGAAACAGGAACAACGACAGACCAACAAAGAAGAGAGAAAATACAAAAAAAGAAGGAAAAAAACAAAACCACAAGAAAAAACATGACGGGTTTAAATCTGTTTAAAGAGCTCAGCTTTTTAGAGAAGCTCTGAAAGTGTTTATTCAAACGCTTTTAAAGTGATTTTGGAGAGCTTTGATCTTGTTTTTAGAGAAGCTTTTACAGCATTTTTAGAGAGCTTTGAAAGAACTTTCAATGACAGAGAGAGTTGATCTGTTGTACAAACATGAACACTCTGACTTCCAAAGACCTGAACGTCTGACAGAGGAGGTCGTTAAAGCGACAGACAGAGAGAAATGAACAAAAACAGAATAACTGTTCACAGTTTTTTACAGAGTAAAAGAAGGATGACCACAACTCAAAAATTACAGTAACTGTCTGGAAACTGAACAAACGACACGACTGAGTTCATGTTAGAAACATGTGAGACTGACGCCTGAAACCTTTTTCTGCTTCAGGGTAAAAATTAACGAAAACAAAACAGTAAAAACAGCAAAAACAGTAAAAACAGTAAAAACAGTAAAAACAGAAAAACAATAAAAACAGAAAAAACAGAAAAAACAGTAAAAACAGTAAAATAAAAACAGCAAAAACAGTAAAAACAGCAAAAACGGTAAAAACAGTACAAACAGAAAAACAGTAAAAACAGAAAAAACAATAAAAACAGAAAAAACAGTAAAATAAAAACAGTAAAAACAGAAAAAACAGAAAAAACAGTAAAAACAGAAAAAACAGTAAAAACAGTAAAAACAGAAAAAACAGAAAAAACAGTAAAAACAGAAAAACAGTAAAAACAGAAAAAACATTAAAACAGAAAAAACAGTAAAAACAGAAAAACAATAAAAACAGTAAAAACAGTAAAATAAAATCAGCAAAAACAGTAAAAAGAGCAAAAACAGTAAAAACAGTAAAAACAGAAAAACAGCAAAAACTGTAAAAACAGTAAAAACAGAAAAACAGTAAAAACAGTAAAAACAGAAAAAACAGCAAAAACAGTTAAAACAGCAAAAACAGAAAAAACAGAAAAAACAGTTAAAACAGAAAAAACAGTAAAAACAGTAAAAACAGAAAAAACAGTAAAAACAGAAAAAACAGTAAAAACAGAAAAACAGTAAAAACAGAAAAACAATAAAAACAGTAAAAACAGTAAAATAAAAACAGCAAAAACAGTAAAAACAGAAAAAAAGGTAAAAACAGAAAAACAGTAAAATAAAAACAGTAAAAACAGAAAAACAATAAAAACAGAAAAAACAGTAAAATAAAAACAGCAAAAACAGTAAAAACAGAAAAAACAGTAAAAACAGTAAAAACAGCAAAAACAGTAAAAACAGTAAAAACAGAGAAAAAAAAAAGTAAAAACAGAAAAAACAGGGGAAAAAAAACCAGTAAGTCACAGGAAGCAGAAACCGAGATGGAGAGGAAATGCATGATTGGAGGAGTTCAGACTGTTTTTTCATTTTCATCCGTACTTCATCTTTATTAATCAGGTCGGTCTCTCTCCTCCTCTCTGACCTAACCCGCTCCTTCCTGCTCTCTGCAGTCAGGACGGGTATCAGGAGGAGTTCTGGTCCGGTCTGGGGGACTGCTGAGGTGACCTTTATTGAACCCTCAACAGCTGAGGACGCAGCTCTGTCACCTCTCTGGAACCAACTGTGAAACTGATGCCACCTGCTGGACAAACAGAGTCACTACAAAGTCATTAAAGAGGACCCAGGTTTGACTGAAAGGAGAACTGGAACCAGTTCAAACCACCGCAGACAGTTTCAGAGAAGTCCTGATTTAGCACACACACACACACACACACACACATGGATATATACACACACACACATGGATACACACACACACACACACACACACACACACACACAGCATCATGGCTGTGCGTTCATAAAACATGGTTATAATGGAAGTCAATGGGTAGTAAAAATGAAAATCTAATGATGCACAAAAACTATAAATGTATTAAAGTCAATGTTGTTACTAATATTTAACAAATCCAAGAGTGTGATAGCACGTAAAACATCTCCAGCCTCTGATCATTTATATTGAATATCAGTCAGTTAGTGTGATTTTTCTTTCTAACAAATCAGCGACATCACCTCTGAAATCAGCATTTAAAGGGTTAAAGTCAATATCTTTTTTTAATATTTATTTTGTTTTATTAGGACTGAGACTGACTAAGGGGGAAAAAGTTAAGAGAAATATCTGATATGTTTTTACAGCAGCTGAAGTTAGGGGCTAAAACAGAGTTTGGCTGCTCTGATAAAATATCACAAATATATATTTTTAAGTCCAGATCAAAAATATTGAACAAATCAAAACTATTGGGTTTTAACCCTTTAAATGATGATTTCAGAGGTCATGTGACTGATTAGTTAGAAAGAAAAAACACATAAAAAGACTGAATTTCAATATAAAGATTTTTTACATGATCACACTCTTGGATATATTTAATATTAGTAACAACATTGACTTTAATGCATTATTAATTTTTATAAAGCATCAGATTTATTTACTTATTTACTTCCCTTTGTTATTTAGTGGTGAATTAATTAATTAATTATTATTATTATTAATAATAATATTGAACATAGCCTCAGATTTTTATATTGATGAAGATTAAAACCACAGTTTGTAAATTCACGGTGCTGACACTGAGTTATCAAACATTCAGTCACATGACACTGCACACACACACACACACACACACTTGTCTTTATTTGGAGATCAGGTGTCTGTTCTGCTCTGTGATTGGTTCATTTAGAAGCTCGTTTTATCACGTTTAGGTCAGTTTAAGTCACAGACACACACACACACACACACACACACACACACACACAGACAGACACACACACACACAGACAAACACACACACACACACACACACAGACAAACTGCGGTTGGAGGTCTGAAAGTGTCTGTGTGGTTTGGTGTATTGGGGTCATTTCCTGCTCTTCTCTGATTGGTCCTTTGTTTCCTCTTCACTCAGGTTCTGGTCCGTCACTTTCTGAACTGAGACGTCCAGCTCTCACACACACACACACACAAAAACAAACACATGGACACAACCAGACACACACAGGTAGGACTAAACTCTTTAACTGACTTTAATATGTTCACTTTATTTATGTGTGTGTGTGTGTGTGAGAGTGTGTGTGTGTGTGTGTGTGTGTGTGTGTGTGTGTGTGTGTGTGTGTGTGTGTGTGTGTGTGTGTGTGTGTGTGTGTGTGTGTGTGTGTGTGTGTGTGTGTGTGTGTGTGTGTGTGTGTGTGTGTGTGTGTGTGTGTGTGTGTGTGTGTGTGTGAGAGTGTGTGTGAGAGTGTGTGTGTGTGTGTGTGTGTGTGTGTGTGTGTGTGTGTGTGAGTGTGTGTGTGTGTGTGTGTGTAAGTTAGTTGTATGTGTGTTTGTGCGTGTTTGTATACGAGTGAGTGTATATGTATTATATTTTACAGGATTTGTGTGTGTCTGTGTGTTTTGTCGTCAGGATCAGATTAATTAAGATTTTATTAAGAATAAAGAGAAACATGAAGACATGGACTGACTTTGTTCGGTTCTCTGTGTGTGTGTGTGTGGGTGTGTGTGTGTGTTTGTATGTGTTTGTTAATATTTTACAGGATTTGTGTTTGTGTTTAAATGTTTTGTCGTCAGGAAATACAGAGAGAGACGGTGTGTGCATGTGTGAAATTATAACAGTGGTCATAACACACCGACACACACGCACACACACACACACACACACAGACATACAGTCACGTAACCACTGAAAGTGTGCGTTTCCTCCTCACAGTGATTGACAGCTAAAAGGGGCGGAGCCTGCAGAGAGGACTTGAGATGGGGTCGGCCATGTTGGTTCTGTCGGGGTTACTCATGATGATGATGATGAGGATGATGAGGAGTGAAGGTGAGTCAGCGTATCTGTCAATCCCAGAGTGTTTCCACGGTAACAGGACAGTTGGCCCCGCCCCTCCTGGCTGTGCTCCTTGTCTCTGTCCTTCCCCTATCTCTAAGGCTGAGCCCGGACACCCTGAGGAGGAAACCCATTTCAGCCGCTTGTATCTGCGATCTTGTTCTTTCGGTCATTACCCAAAGTTCATGACCATAGGTGAGGATCGGCACGTAGATCGACCGGTAAATCCAGAGTCTCTCCTTACGGCTCAGCTCTTTCTTCACCACCACTGATCGGTTAAGAGTCCGCATCACTGCTGACGCCGATCTGATCCGTCTGTCGATCTCCCGCTCCATCCTACCCTCACTCCTGAACAAGATCCTGAGATACTTGAACTCCTCCACTTGAAGGACCGCCCCTCTGACCTGGAGAAGGTGATCTACCTTTCTCTGACTGAGGACCATGACCTCGGACTTGGAGGTGCTGATTCTCATCCCAACTGAAGGTCACTGCTCCACGAAGATAAAGAACCACATCATCCTCAAAAAGCAGCGACTCGATCCTCTGCCTGCAGAACTGGACCCCCTCCACCTCCGACTGCTTCTAGAAACTCTGTCCTTAAAGGTTTTCTCATGTTCTCGTATAAATCAGTTCCAGGGAAGTTTGTGGAGAAATGAAAACAGGATACTATGATGTTAAAATTAAAACATTACAAAGTCAGGATATCTGATCTTCACACTCCAAACTTGTTTGATTTTTGCTGATTTTACTTCTTTTAATTCTGTTTTTATTCACGTTTGAAGTTCAAACTTCATTGGAATGTTTTTTATAGTTTTTGTTCAGACTTTTGAAAACTCCTTTTTTCTTCACTGTGTTTTAAACTTTTGTTGATGAACTTCTTATTAACCTTTAATTTGAAGTCTATTGAATGATATATGAAGAAGTGTTTCGATGACCACAGTGACCACAGCCCAGAGATCACGGCTGTAATTTGTCCGTCTTTGTGTCAGAGTCGACGGCAGGTTTTTATTCTGCAGGTTTTCGGTTTTATTTCAGAGAATCTGGACGTATAGAACGACTATCAGACGTACGTTTGAATCTAACAGACAGATTTCAACAAAAACAAACGTGAACACGACGACGACACAAATAACAAAAAAATCTCAGTGACTGAATCGTTGATGTGATCCTGTTCTTTGTCTCTTTATTGACTTACTAAGAGGTTTAAATTCATTCGATCTACGTTTGGCTCGTCGCTCCACGATCCGCCACAGAAACACGATTTGAACTGAGCATGTGCGAAACCTACGTCACTTCCTCTCTTGGCATTTCAATGTATTTTATGTCAGTGAGTCGTTACTGTTGAGGGGCGAAGAATTCCTGAGCTGTCGCAGAGACGGCTCAGAGAGGAAGTGACGTACGTGTCGCACATGCGGGACGATCAGGTGGCGACATGGCTCTTCGTCATCATCATCACTTCCTCTCCGACTGTCAGGATCTGAATCTTTAAGAGGGTTTGATGGTAGACAGCCTCTAGTGGACACTCAGAGAACTGCAGTCTAGACTCCGCCTCTCTCTCATCGCTGTCATCTGCCGATATTAAATCAATAACTTGTAACAGTTATGGGATCTTTGACCTTTGACCCCAGCTGCAGA